AAACAACAAAAAAAAAAAAAAAAAAAATCTACCAGAGCTAATAAGGACAATAAACAAAGTCCGTGTATTTATGTATATGTATCAGCTCTGTAGAATTGGAAATTGAATAACTTTGAAAGAAACAATCAATTCAAGGTAAATTGTATCATTTTCTCTCCTTTGTCCTGCCATTTTCTTGAAGATTGTAGAAGTTCTATTTTGTTCATAGCTTGCTTTGGTGCTTTTGTTTTACTTTAAAGATTTTGACTTTTCAAAAAATTTGTAGTGGTTGTCCTCTGGATTGAGCCCAGGATCTTTGCACTGTCCTAAATCCCCAGGCTTTAAAAATTTTTTGAGACAGGGTCTTCCTGAGTTTCATAGGCTGTGATCCTCTTCTTTTAGCCTCTCAGAGTACTGGGTTTACAGTGTGTGCGATTATAACCCCATTGACTTTTTAAAGGTGGCAGATCATTCTTTACATAGGATTTCAGAAAGGAAAATCTTACTAAAATGGCAGTCCATGGCTAGCATAGGAAACATTTGAAATTAGTATATTTGAAGATTTAGTTTTGTTTTTAAGGTAGCCACTTGGTTTCCTGCTTAGAGGATTCTTCTTTATGTAAAGACAGCAATTTTGAGACTTGTTTCTGAGTATATTTATGAGGGCCAACTCTTTTATAAGAGAAAATGTTAACTGGATATTGGTGTTACGCAGGGAGCTTTTTATAAAGCTGAAGCTGGATTGTGGATTTTAGTCCGCTTCTAAGATGCTGAACTATTAAGATGTTACAAGTCTCTGATTTGTACAACAGTTTTTTAATATGTTCCTGCTACCGTTTCCTTTGTTGCTGGGAGTGAGTCCTATTCTTTAGAATCTTTCTTAACAGAGGCTTTCAAATGTTTATAAATAACATTGTTCTGTTTTTGTCGTGCTAGAAATCAAGCCTAGGGCCTTGAGTTTTCTAGTCACGTGCTTTTACTGAACTGTGGCCCTAGTACTGAACTTGGCAAGTTTGGGATAAAGTATTTGCTGTTCCATTTTGGAGAGTTAGAGCTAGCAGGCGTATGTATTAAAGACTTTTTAATTCAGTTCCTTTTTTTCTTTTTTGAACTAGGGACCTTGTGCTTGCAGGGCAGGTGGTGGAACCACTGAGCTAAAATTCCTGGCCCCTGTTCCATTTTTATTGGTAGATGAACTGAGGCCCTAAGAAGCAAGTGGAATTTAGTGAAAGGACAGGCTGTTGTATTTTCCTGGTGGATATTTTTTAATGTTTTTCATGTTTGCCAAAGTTTTTAGCCTCAAAAACAATGCCTAACGGACATCACGTTTTTAGTAAAACAAAAATAGAATATTGCAGCTGTTCTGAAAATGAATTTTTAATATCTAGTTGAGAAACAGTATTACTCAATTTTTATAAAAAACTGGGTTATAATTTGCTTGTGATACTATCTTTTCTCATTCATTGTCATATTACTTGGTTTTGTAGTATCTGCTTGGTTATTGGAACATAATGCATTCTTGAGAAAAAGAAATGTTTTTGTTGGAATTTTAAACATAAAGAGGGTACTCATTTGGTGTTATATTGACATTTGAGAACTAAGACATTTAGTATTAAAATGTTAAATTTTATTTGTTGGAGAATATTGTACTCTTAGCTACCTTGGATTTTATGCTAATGAAATTATTTTCAGGATAACAGATGCTTGCATTCATTTTTCATTAATTTAATTTTTTTTAGTCTTCTTTGGTTTAAATTTTAAGGGCGAGTGGATTGAGGTATTGCCAAGCCTTTTTACCAGTTGACTCATTTCCAATATGTAACACAAAGAGATCCTACTTTATAGGGGTATATGCCATTGTATCACTTCTGGTTATAAAAGTAGTTTCTCCAGCAAAGAATTGTTTTTTTTTTTTTTTAATTAAAAAGGAAACATTGCATTTAATTAAAGAAAAAAACACCAGAATTTTGTCTGCAAGAATGATGGAACAAATCAACTCCTGGAAAAGAGTTTAGCACCTGGCTGAACATGTTTAGTTTAGTGGAAGGCTAAAAGAAAAACAAAAATGCTACTTAACTCGAAATATTGTTAGGTATTTGCAACTCTTTCTGGGGGTGAACAAATCCCCTGGCTATTTCTCAGTATCATTGTGTGTGCAGCCCTGCCCTCTGAATGTCTTATACAGTTAAAGAGGCAACTGTTTCCACCTAGGACAAATTCTTCACTTCAGCCAACTCTTAATGGAGGGGAAACCAGCACAACACCATCTTCCCTGGACAAAGAGCATCAGGAGATAGGCCTTTTTGTTGATTTGTATATCTCTTCATATGTCTCCAGTCAGTTTCTATAGTAGTCACAGTTTCCTCCACATCTCCCAGCATCATTTTTAAATGTTGATCATAAGCATATAATCTGCATCAAAGATCTTGGTCATTCCTCATTTTCACATAAATTAGATCATCCAGGCTGAGTCTGATGAGATCCATGGTTTCTCTACAGTGGTGGTGGTTTGTCGCTGGTCCATGCTGTCCGCCATGTTTCAGACCTTGCACCCTTTGAGAATTGTATTTTTAATTAGGAAGAAAAAACCCTAAACTTTTAATGACAATTCCCAGAGTTAAGTTGCTGTCAGTATACTTACTTTATTTTACTTTTGATATCCATTCTATTTTGTACATAATTTCATTGCATGAAATAATGTGCCTTTAGTTACATTCAGAGTTTTCCTTGCAGGCACCAGTCAGAAGACAGATGAAAGCTAAGCAACTTAATGCACAGTCTTACGGTGTGACCAGTTCAACAGCTAGGCGAATATTGCAGTCTTTAGAGAAGATGTCAAGCCCTTTGGCAGTAAGTTTTTAAAATCATAGTTACATGTAGAAGTATATGAATTCAGTGGAAAATCTTTATTTTTCACAAAAAATAAATTTTGTTATTTTAACTTAACAGGATGTGAAAAGAATTCCATCTGTTGTTTCTTCTCTGAATTCTGTAAGTTGATGTTTAAGCCTGTTACACGATAAGAGTCATGTTTTTCAGTTTTCCATCTATGCTAATACTATTTTTTTATTTTTAGCCTTTTGATAGGAGTGGGATGGACACCACAGATATTTGGGCCAAAAGACAAAAGGTAAGTCAGGTTTCAGAGTATGTATCGGCAATCTTGTTGTATTTAAAGTTAGTAAGTACAAACATTGGGTTTAGTTCATAGTCATTAGGGAATGTGTGAAAATAAGCTTGTTTTTACTTGGACATGCATGCTCTGACTGCTGCCCATTCATTATTTTTTGATGATTTGGCATTTCTGTCCTCAGGTTCTTGGCAGTTGTCATAGCTGCTCTTACCCTTTTTTACTCCTAATCTTTTTTTCCCCCCTACTCTCCTTCCCACTGCCCTTTATCAGAAATTGAACTCAGGACCTTGGGCTTGCTTGTAATGCAGGCATGGTTCTTACTTTTTGATAAAATATTTGTGAACAAAGTTTGGAAACCTTCATTGAACCTAGTCTTCTTGGCAAACATTTATCATTAGATGACATATCAAATCTATTTCGTGTAATAGAATTTCAATAGGTACATATTTTATCAGCCAGCCAAAATATAATTCCAAGTTACTAGAGCTAATAAAATATAGAATGTAGATGTCTTGGTACTCTGTTAGTGCATTTATGTGGTTCAGGTTGACTTTGGAGGTTACTGTGGGAAAAATTAAAATCTGAATTATTGTTACTGAAATTTTTGCAGAGAAGAAAGCCAAAATTGAATTTTTTTCTTAAGAGTGTTGCTTTCCAATTTTTAGAATTACCTGGGAATTTGTAATTGGGCAGTAGATATTTTAGGAAAGCCGTGACAGGATTAAGCTCTTAACTTTTCTCAGATCCCCATTTATATCAGACTGTTAAAGTAAAAGTTTAACCTTGTGCCATAATAAGTTAGTGTCAGTAAGAATCTTTTATGGGAGCTGGGTGTGGTGGTGCATACCTGTGGTCCCAGTTTGTTGGGATGCTGCAGCAGAAAGAGTCCCAAGTTTGAGGCCAGTTTTGTGAGAACCTGTCTCAAAATGTAACAAAATATTATTAATGGCTGAATATTTAAATAAGTTTATTAATGTATTCCAGAAAAGGAAAAGCCAAAATACAGTATTGCAGTTCGTGTTTCGCAATTAAGTCAGCAGTCTACAGAATATAGACTGTTTCATTGAATTGTAATGTCATGTTTTTTTTTTTTGGTACCGGGGATCGAACTCAGGACTTTACGCTTGTGAGGCAGGCAGTGGAATCACTGAGCTAAATTCCCAGTGCAGTGTCACGTTTATGAAAAGGATTTAGGGGAGAGAGCTGTGAACTCTATAGAGGTTTTGTCCTGGAAACCAGTGCTGTTCACAGCTGCTGCTCAGTGAAAGGACTTTATTCATAGAATAACAATCTCTGTACAGAATAGGAGGTCTTGGGTTTGTAGTGATCTTACAACAACAAGATTTTAAAATTTTGCTTCACTGTGGCAAAGGACTGCTAACAAAATGCTTGTGTACTTAGATAATAAAATTAGTTTCAGAATCTAGGAGTCTTAATAGGAGTCTTTATGGATTAGACTTACATTATAATGTTTTTGGTTTTGCTTGTTTTTTAAATAGCAATAAAAAACAACTTAAAAGGATTTGCCTATATTTTATTTTTTTATTTTTATTATTATTTTTTTTGGTACCAGGGATCGAACTTGGAAGCATGTGCTTGTGAGACAGGGGTGGAACTACTGCCTATATTTTAATTAAAATGTTTCTATGTCATGCCAAAAATATCTTAATTCTAGGTAAAGAAAATTAGTAATTTGGGCAAAATGTGAGGAAAAACCAATTTTAGAAATATACTGCAGGGCTGGGAATTTAGCTCAGTGGTTCCAGGCCCTGCCTTGTAAGCGGCAAGGACCTGAGTTCAATCCCCGGTACAAAAAGAAAAAGAGAAAGAAACCACCGGGGAGTTAGCTCAGTGGTTCCACCACCTGCCTTGCAAGCGCAACAACCTGAGTTCAATCCCTGGAAGAACAACAACAAAATATATATATAGAAATATACTGAAAATTCCAGTAAAAGCTTAGATCTGTTTCAAATATTGCTTAGTTCCGTTTTCTGTGTGCACATGTATATACATGCATGATAAGTCATTTAAGTTGGAATAAAATTTAGTCTATTAAAGATTGAGAACTTTATATATGTACATATATGAATATAAATATATAATATAAATATATATCTTTGGTTCTAGGATTATTAGTTTTTCCATTCATTCATTTGTTCATTCAGTACCGGGGATTGAACTTAAGACCTCATGCTTGCCAGGCAAATGCTGTGTCGCTGAGCTACATCCCTGGCCCCTCCAGTTGTATTTATTTGCATCTACTGAATATCTAGGAAGTACTCTTGGTCTCTAGATCACATTAGCTATTGTCAAATATTTTCCATGAAAATGAGCCATTGCTGTATATATGAAAATGTTTATCTTCAATTTCTGTTTATTTATAAGGTGGACTCTCAGCATCCCCCTGTTCAGAGACTTATGACCCCAAAGCCAATTTCTATAGCAACAAATAGAACTGTTTATTTTAAGCCATCTCTGACCCCATCTGGGGAATTAAGGAAGACTAATCAGAGAGTAGATAAAAAGGACAATGTGAGTATGTATATTTTCATCAGTCTTTGAATATTGATGGGAGTAAGGATAAATAATAAATGTGAAGTACAACTACTCTAACATAGTCTGGCAATTATATAATAACATGACGCTTGATAATTTGTTATGATTATCAATTAGTATGTCTCTAAAACTGCTTTTACCATGAACAAATCCTAAATTAATGTTTACTAGTGAACAGTACGTATTCATTGTCTAGATTAATTTTGCCATGATTTATCTTTGTGTCTTGTTTGTATTGTTGTTGAACTGCCTGAAAGTAGATTTTGGACATCATGACTTTTGACACACCCCCCAGGTACTTTGCTATGCATTTAAGTGCTTTCTTCTGTATAATCTCAATGGTGGAAATGAATGTTAATTCCTTAATACCATATTACTTAACCCCTAGTCAACTTAAAAATTTTTTAAATTATCTGCAACATTTATACAGGCAAAGATAATAGTATAGTATATAAAATATTCATGTTATAGAAAGTATAAATCAGTCAGAAATAAAACCATCTAGACAGAATGGGCAAAGGGTAAAACATGATTTAGAGAAGAAATAAAATTAACCTGGATTAAAGCAGGAGAAAAAAAAATTATCAAAGTTACCAGGGAATATTACTTAGGAAATTCTAAGGTTATGGTAGATTCTTTATTTTTTTCCTTATGTCTTTTATTGGTACATTTTAGAGGTACATAATGATCACATTCATCATAGGGAATTTATGCTTGTACATGATATATTTTGCCTTTTTTTTTTGGTACTGGAAATTGAACTCAGAACCTTGTACTTGAGAGGCAGGTTCAGTGCCACTGAACTAAATCCTCAGCCCTCTTGCTTCATTCTTTTTTTTTTGCTATTCTCTTCCCCTTCCTTCAATCCTTTCATTTATAAAAGTTTTGTTTCCACTTTTTTCTATTTTTTTTTCCTTGTCCCTTCCTTCCTTTCCCTTTCCCCCTGCCTTGTTCTCCTTCTCATTTGTATTTAAAATGTTTTTTATAGCTGCTGTTTTGATTTGCTTTTTTGGGGATCCAAGTAAGGTTTACATGTTTCTTTTGGTTTTTTTAGCTTTTTATACTTTGAACCTTTAACCTGGCTACACTGTTTTTTGAGATAATTCATATAATATATAATTCACCTCAAGTTTATAGTTCTGTAGTTTTTGTACATTTATATAGTTATTCAGCTATCACAACAAGTTTAGAACATTTTAATCACCCTGCCCCACATTTCCCCAAATTCCCTTGCTCTTTAATAATTAATTAGCATAATATTTTCAAGTTCACCCATGTTGTAGCATATATCAGTTTTCACTCCCCTGTGCCTACTTGCTGAGCATGAATTTCATTATATGGGATATATGTTAAATTTTGTTTATCTGTTAGTCGAGAGATACTTTGGTTATTTTCACTTTTTGGCTGTAGTGAATACTCTAGTAATGTTGCTATGAACATTTGTCTATAGGTGTTCTTGTTTTTGTTTTTTTCCCCTTGTAGACATACTTTTTCATTTCTTTTGGATTTATGGCTAGGAGTAGAATTTCTGGGCACATTGTTTTTGAGTGTTTTGTGGGGGGGCATGATTTTTGGGGCAGGGTCTCTCCCTTTGTAGTTCAGGCTGTCCCTGAACTAAACTGTGTAGCCCAGGCTGGCCTTTAACTTGTAACAATCCTCCTGCCTCAGCCTCCCAAGTGCTGGGATTACTGGCTTGTTCCACCATGTCCAGCCTAGGAACATTAGTTTTTGGAGAGAGGCCAATTGTCTTAAAATGTCCCACATTATGGGTTTGTCTGTTTTCTGTGTCATTTAACTAAAATGTTTTAAGTTTACAAAGCATTTTAAAGAAATACAGTAATTACCCATTATTACTTTAGATTCACACTAGTTGTTCGCGTTTTGTCATGTGCTTGTCTCCACACATTAAATTTTTGTGTTGGATTCCTGCCCCCCATTCTGGGGATTGAACCATGGAATGGTGAGCTGTATCCTCAGCCCTTTATCTTTTTCTCTATGTATCCTACACATAATGAATCCTCCTTACACACTGCCTAACAGTGAGCAAACCCAGACATTTAATGTTAGTGCAGCACTTATCTACAGATTTTATTTAGATGTTGCTAATTGTGCTGGGGGGGGGTCCCATTTCCTGCATTGTTGTGTCTAGAATGTTTGTTTTTATTTTTTTTTGTTTTTTTTTTTGTTTTGTTATGTTTTGAGACAGGGTCTTGCTATGTAGTTCAGACTTGCCTTGAACTCCTGCCTCAGCCTGAGTGCTGGGATTACAGGCCTATATGAGTGATATTATTTTGTATAAATAATCACACTCTAACTTTTGGTTATCATTCAGAAGTCAGGGCCTAAAGTAGAAATTTCAGGATTTAGTTACTAAAAAAAAAAAAAAAAATCATCAAATGTCTGATTCCAGGAAGGATGGTATTAAAAATTACTGTTTTTTTCTTCTAGACTGGATATGAAAAAAATACTACACTCAGACAAAATAGAGAACAAGAAAGGTAATGTCATTTTACACACAGCTAAATTTCTTTGTATTTAATTTGTAAAGTCAATTTTTGATTTATGAAAACCTTTTTGGAAATGGAAGTAAAATGTAGAAACTATGCAAAAACATTTGTCAGTTTTGCTTTTTAGGTAATTAACAAATTTCCACAATAATATATCAATTTGTGTTTTCTTTTTATTTGCTAGTGGCTTTTCATACCCACATTTCAGTATTCCTGCAGCCAATGGTTTGTCTTCTGGAGTAGGTGGTGGAGGTGGCAAGATGAGACGGGAGAGAACACGCTTTGTTGCTTCTTCTAAATCTCTGGAGGAGGAGGTAGGGTTATATATACTCTTGAGATTTATTAAAAGCTTTAAGGTCCTTAAAGGAGAGACTTGGGTGGGTGTGCTTTAGGGAGACCCAGAGCAAGAACTGATGTGCTTTGAAACAGACTCTTCAGAATTATGTGCCACAAACCTAAACCAATAGAGTACCTTGAATTTTCTGAGAGTCATTAACAACAAAAACAAAAACATCACTCTTTAACTAAGAAATTGACAGGCCGAAGATTTACCTCAGTGGTTCTGCTGCCTTCCTCACAAGTGCAGGGACTTGAGTTTGATCCCTGGTTCAAGAAAAAAAAAATTCATTGACCCCCCCCCCCAAATTGCCATTGAATTATTTTTGATCCTTGGGATGTTATTGTATGGTTTTGTTTCTATACTTTTAAATGGTTGATACTATTATATATAGTTTCACCTGTCCTTTTCTACATTTTTTCCTTGTTTTGTGGTTTATGTTATGAAAGATAACTGTAGGGTATTTAATTTCATTGCTGTGAATTTATCCAGCATGAAGATTTGCTACAATTAATCCATTCATCAGGGTGTATCTGGCTTGATTTGCAATACATGCTAAAGTGAATATTTGAGCACTTTTTTTGTCCATGTGCAATATTTTGTCTGGGATATTTACCTAGGAATGGAATTAGTAGATTATAGGGAATGACACCTGGTAGATCTACTTTTTCTTTACTCTTACCAGTGCTTTTTTTGTTGACGTGAATTTTTACCAAAATGAAGTGAAAGGACATGCCATCTGAGTTTCATTTTGCATTTCTTTACTTAGTAAGGGTGTGGTGAGAGATAGTTTTTTGTATGTGGCCATTTGGGGCTTTAAAAATTTTTTTTTCCTATGGGGTTCTTTAGTTGGGAAGAATTCTTTATGTGTTCTTTTTTTTTTTTTTTTTTT